TTCGTGTAGAGTTTGGTCCAGATCCATCATTGTTTGAGTCCACAGTGATATCTGGATGTAGGTGAACTACAATTCCCAAACTCAACGTCAATGCCCACCAAACCCTTACAGTATTTTCTATTGGTCATGGGACCTCTATGTGCCAAGATTAGTTCAATTCTATCGTTGGTGGAGTTCAGAATGCTCTTTGATTGTAGGTGAACTATAAATCCTAGCAACTACAACTCCCAAATGACAAAAGCAATTTTTTTGAGTGAAGGACACACACTGGCCTGAGAGGTGTCTTGTGTCCAAATTTGGTGTCAATTCACCCAGTGGTTTTTGAGTTCTGTTAGTCCCACAAACGAACATTACATTTTATTGATATAGATAATAATATAATAATATAAATATAATATAAATAATATAATAATAATACAATTACATTATAATTGTTTTTATATTATTATTATTATTATTATTATTATTATTATTATTATTTAATTATCATATATTATGCTATGTAACGTGGTATTTGTTCCTGGGTTATCAGTGTCATTTCCTCATTGGTTCTCTCATAAAACCATGGAGAAAGTTGATTAAACTGCCCAAATAATAATAATAATAATAATAATAATAACAACAACAACAGTAGAGTTGGAAGGGACCTCTAAAGACCATCTAGTCCAAGAGGAGGAGGAGGAGGAGAGATGGGGGGGTCCCTTTGTGGGGGGGACATCATGCAACACATTTTTCAATAATTTCCCAATGAATATCTCATAGAATCTCAACCAATTCAACCTAGTTTGTGGCACAAAAAACAAAGCTTCTAGAGTAGAACAACTACTTTCAAATTCAGGACCACACAATCAGGGGCGGCTGAACCAATTCGCCAATTATGCATTTGCATAGAGCGCCAATCTCCAAGGGGAGCTCTGGCGCCCTTGCTTGTCAGAGGTGAGGGAGCAGAGAGGTTAAGCAGAGCAGGCGCCACGGCAGGGAAGCGAGCTGCCGAGGCGGGCTTTGCAGGCAGTGGGTCCGGGGATTGCTTTCTCTTCCTCTCTCTCTATCTCCCCCCTCCTAGCTTCCCATGCCCCCCATCTCTCCTCCTCCTCCTCCTCCTCTTGGACTAAATGGTCTTTAGAGGTCCCTTCCAACTCTACTGTTGTTGTTATTATTATTATTATTATTATTATTATTATTATTATTATTATTATGGCTGGATGGCTATCTGTCAGGGGTGCTTTGATTGTGCTGTTGCTGCATGAAGGCAGAAGGTCCTTGGACTAGATGGTCTTTAGAGGTCCCTTCCAACTGTACTGAAGGGCCCCTTAGATTTCCCAACACAAGTTCTATTGAGGCTCAAAATAAGTTCAATAAAGTTCTTTATTTGGGCTTAAATCTTCAAACAAATGAATTAAACGCTTTATAACCTTGGAAAACCGGTATCTTCCTCAATCTGCTATCAAGGGCAGGCAACTGGTGGTAAACTGTTCCTTTCTTCCTTAGGGAAATCTTCTGACCCCTCCCTGGGCAATCTTTCTTTACCTTGCTGGCGTGAGGCCCCTACTCCCGGCTCCAAGCTACTTTATGGATAGCCCGAGTCGTCCCTTACCAGACAATGCGTCCTTTAGATCTACTCCACGAAGGCTGTAGGGACTGTCCTGATGCCCCAGCAAAGGCTGGCTGTACTCCCCCAGCAAAAGCTGTGGAACTATCCTTTTACTCGCCTAGCAGAGCTGTGAGAAGTGAAGCTTTTGTGCAGGTGGGAAAGAGAATCCCACATGTCCTGCTGTTAGGCTTCAAACAGTGAGACTGAACAAAATCCTTCTTTGCCTCCAAAACCCTGGGAAAGGGGGCAGGTCTAAAGACTCTAATGATGATTGCCAGGTTGCTGGCCCTATGACTGCAACCTGGGGAAGCCACCTGATTGCAAAATG